TGTTAGTCTACTTTCAAGTAGAAATGTTGCCTTTGCAAAATTAATTGCCCAAATCATCAAATTAAGAGCTCAATTCCCAGTTCATACAATAAAGAAAATAAGGCTCGACAACGCTGGGGAATTTACATCCCAAACATTTAATGATTATTGTATGTCAATTGGAATTGTTATTGAACACCTAGTAGCTCATGTTCATACACAAAATGGTCTAGATGAATTTAAAAGACTACAATTGATTGCAAGACCATTAATAATGAGGTCAAAATTGTCATCACCTGCTTGGGGACATGTTATAATACATGCAGCAGCACTAATTAGATTGAGACCTACAACTTATCATAAGTTCTCGCCACTACAACTAGTTTTTGGTCGAGAACCAAGTATCTCACATCTAAAAATCTTTGGTTGTGCTGTATATGTTCCCATTGCTCCACCCCAACGAAAAAAATGGGTCCACAGAGAAGGCTGGGAATTTATGTCGAATTTGATTCCTCTCTATAATCAAATATATTGAACCATTGACTGGTGACCTATTTACGGCTAGATTTGCCGACTGTCACTTTAACGAAACATTATTCTCAGCCTTAGGGGGAGAGAAAGTGGACCCACGCAAGAAAGAAATAGAACTCATTTGGAATGCAACACAACTGTTGATCCTAGACCCATGAACTAATGCATGTGAACAAGAAGTCAAGAAAATTGTTCATTTACAAAGTGTTGCAAATAAATCAATTTCCTGATGCATTTGTAGACACAAAGAAGGTGACAAAATCACATATACCAGCAGAAAATGCCCCTGCACGTATTGAAATTCCAACTGATAATAAAGCCATTGAAAATGAATCTCGAGCACGCAGAAAGCGTGGGAGACCACTTGGTCCAAAAGATTCTATGCAAAGGAAATTGAAAAGATTGGATGGAATAGAAAATGAGATTAATGATGTTTCCCCGTCAGAAGGTCAAGAAAGACCAAATGTGGATGAAAGTAAAGAAAATGATGATAATCTAAAAGGGGATGAACAAGAAGACAACCCTACGGGAAATGAACAAGATGACAAAGACATCAATAACAATGAAATCTCAATGAATTATGTCATACCAAGATTCATTGGAATAGAAAAGATGTTATCGTAAATGAAATATTTGCATATTCCATTGCAATCGACATTGTGTCTGATGAAAATGATGTTAAACTAAGGACAGAGGAGTGATTGGTCAAGGTGGAAGGAGGCAATGCAAAATGAGTTAAAGTCACTTGAAAAATGAGAAGTTTTCAGAAAAAGAAATCTTACACCAGCAGGTGTAAAACCCGTTGGATACAAATGGTTATTTGTGAGAAAACGTAATGAGAAAAATGAGATATTTAGATACAAGGCAAGACTTGTAGCCCAAGGATTTTCTCAAATTCCAGGGATTGATTATGAAGAAACATATTCTACAGTAGTTGATGCAACTACATTAAGATTTCTGGTAAGTTTGACAGTCACAAAAGAACTGCAAATGCGATTAATGAATGTAGTGACTGCGTATTTGTATAGGTCACTCGATACATACAAGTCCCCGAAGAACTAAAACTACCAGAGAATCACAATCCTAGAAAATTACTTTCCATAAAACTAAAAAGGTCACTTTATGGATTGAAACAATCAGGGAGGATGTGATATATATAACCGTCTCAGTGAATACCTAATGAGAGAACAGTTCAAAAACAATCAAATTAGTCCCTGTGTTTTCATAAAGCGATCATAATTAGGATTCGCTATCATTGCAGTTTATGTTGATGATTTGAATATCATCAGAACCTCAAATGAATTTGAGAAAACTGCAAAATACTTGATGAAAGAATTTGAGATGAAAGACCTTGAAAAAACTAAATTTTGCCTTGGATTGCAAATTGAGTACTTGAGTCATGGTATTTTTGTCCATCAATAAAACTATACATAAAGAGTTTTGAAAAGATTCTTCATAAGCAAAGCAACTCCAATCAACTTTCCAATGGTTGTTCGTTCTTTGAATATGAAAAATGATCCATTCGGACCCCAAGAGGAAAATGAAGAAATTGTGGGTCTAGAAGTTCCATACTTAAGTGCAATTGGAGCCTTCATGTACTTAGCTAACAACACTAGTCTTGACATAGCTTTCACTGCAAACTTGTTAGCCAGGTATAGCAATGTACCGACATATAGACATTGGAAGGGAGTCCGACACTTACTCCCACTACTAGAAATAGGTCGTTTTCCGAGGGAATCATTCCGACGGACCTAAATTCCGTCGGAAAATTCGAACTTTCCGACGGAAATAGGGTATGTCAGAAAATTCCGTCGGAAAAGGTATGTTACGACGGAAAATCCGTCAGAATTTTTGCGACGGAAATTAATTCCCTCGAAACAATAGGCTTCCGACATTCCGTCGGAAAGTTAACTTTCCTACGGAATATTCCCTCGGAAAACCCAAAATATTCCGACGGATTATTTTTCCGTCGGAACGTTCTAATATATATATAAAAAAAAAAACCTCATTTTCTTTGTTTCTCTTTCTCTCTCTCTCTCTCCTTCTCTGCTTTTCCTCCTCCTCCTTCTCCTTCGTTTCTCTCCCCTCCTTCCTTCTCCTTTCATTTCTCTCTCCTCCTTCTCCTTTCGTTTCTCTTTCCTCCTTCTCCTTCCCCTTCGTTTCTCTCTCCTCCTTCTCCTTCCCCTTCCCCTTCGTTTTTCAAAGCCACGAACCACCGCCGCTGCGCAACCACGAACCACCACCGCCTTCTAAAGGTTTTTCAAAGAACAAAATAAGGTTTTTCATGTCAAATTCGACCATGAAAACCCTAGATCTAGAGTTTTCATGGTCGAATTTGACCTTTAAAACCCAAATTCAAGCCAAATTAGGAGTTTTGATGGAATTCAAGGTAAGTTCTCTTATTCTCTTTCTCTTATTTTTTTCGGCTTTTTTCGTTTTTTTTTCCTGATTTTTCATGTTTTTGATTTTTTTTTATTTTGATTTTGGATTTTGATTTTTTTCTGATTTTGAATTTGTTTTTTTTTTGGAATGTGGTTTAGGTGGGTGGGTAGATATGGGTATTCGGTGGTGGGTTGTGGGTAGTTGTGGGTTAGGGGGGTTTCGTGGGTGGGGATCTGGGTTGTGGGGGTTTTGTGGGTGGGGATCTGGGTTGTGGGGGCAAGGGGTGGGCCGGTGGGTGGGGATCTGGGTTGTGGGGGCAGGGGGTGGGCTGGTGGTGGGTGGGGCTTTTTTTTATTTTTTTTTTCTATTAAATTTTCAAACGGAAATTTCCGTCGGAAGAGGAAAATTCCGTCGGAAGCTTGGCTTGTTGCGACGGAATTTTCCGTCGGAATTAACTCATACCGACGGAAACTATTCCGTCGGAAACTTGCGAGGGACTTCCCAATCAAGTCAAACTTAACTCCGACAGAACATAATCCGTCAGAAATTCCGTCGGAATGGACCTTTCCGATGGAATTTCCCACGGAATATCGCGAAATTCCTACAAAGCGTAATGCGACAGTGTTCCGATGGTTTTTTTCCGTCGTTGATTGACTGTTTTCTAGTAGTGTCCGGTACTTACGAGGGACACAAGACCTTGGTTTATAACCAAAACGAGATTTTGCTCTTGTTGGGTATGCAGACGCTGGATACTTATCAGATTCACAAAATGCCAAGTCACAAACTGGATATCTGTTCACTTATGGCGGCACTGCAATATCGTGGGAATCAACAAAGCAGACATTGACCGCAACATCCTCGAATCATGCAGAGTTGATAGCTCTTTATGAAGCAAGACGAGAATGTGTATGGTTGAGGTCGAGGATCAGTAATATCCAAGAAGAATGTGGAATGAACGCAATAACTGAAAATCCAACCATCATCTCTAAGATAATATAACATGCATCTCTCAAGTAACTGAAGGGATATATTAAGGGAGATATAGAACAAAACATATATCCCCAAAACTATTCTACACACATGATCTGCAAAAGGATGAGGAAATAGATATCCAGCAAATTTAGTCTTGTGACAACCTTGTCGACCTATTCACTAAATCACTTCCTTTGTAGAAATTTGAGCAATTAGTTCACAAAATTGGAATGCGACATCTTCGTGAATTGTGTTGAAATCAGGGTGAGTATTATATACACTGCACTCTTTTTTTATTCGATCAGGTTTTTATCCCACTAGGTTTTTCCTGACAAGGTTTTTAAGGAGGCAGTATACCAAAGCATATAATACTATATCGTTGTACTCTTTTTCCCTAACTATGGTTTTTATCCTACAAGGTTTTACCTAGCAAGGTTTTTAATGAGGCAACTCATACCCCATTTCATGTGAACGTTCAAAGGAAGAGTGTTGACAAAAATACAAAGATGATTGAAGTTCATATGCATGTAATTTTAACCAGTTAATACAATTTTACCTAGTACAATAATATACATGTAGTACAATGATGTATAGTATTATATTCCATAATTTTGGCTATATGAGGAGGTTCACGTACTCCATCCGTGTTTTAATAAGTGTTACACTTCCTTTTTTGGCAAAAAACTACATTTAAATATTATATCTCTCTCATCTCATGGTCCCCACCTAAATTCACTACTACTTTTGTTTTATTATATCTTTCCTCTCACATTCATTACTTTTCAATAAACTATTAACCCCGCTATCTTTCTTTTATATTTTTTTAATAATCCAATTACCCCATTTACCTTTTATTTTATTTAAGTCAATTAAATTGCTTAAAAGTATAAACACTTATTAAAACACGAAAGGAGTATTATGAACCGGTGTTTGTAAAAATAAAAAGCTTCTATCATAGTACTTACTTTCTATCTTTATCTCTTCATTGATAAATTTCTTGCTATGGGTAAAATTTTTAATAGAATAATATTTAATTAATTAATTGGCCATCAGAATTCAAGATTCAGGGAAAAAAAAGGTAAAGATAAAAAAATAGGGAAGATCCTTGGGTACTACTGTTAGGTAGTATCCTACTATCAACATTTCGAGATCGACAGCGCAACTTGAGCGTTCAACTCGCCAATTTCTAAATTTCATTTAAAGGCAAGATCTTCTCTTTTCATTTTTATTTCTTTCTTATTCTTAAATATAATTTGTCACCCAATATTTTATTTTCTTTTTAATACCAAGTAATTTAAATAAATAGTGTTCTACCTTTCATCACCCTACCCTTCTACTACCCCTTTTCTTGCTTCCAATCAGATCTGCTCTACATTCTCTCAAATTTGTCAAAATTCACGATCTTAATTTCGAGGTGGGTTTTTCGAGAATTTCAATTTTCACCGAAATTTCCTTTCTTTTTTGAGGAAAAAAAAAAAAAAAATCATTTTATGATGTTCTTGTTTCTGATTTTTTTGTGGGTAGGTTTTGAAGTGGAAGATTGATCAGTGATAACCGACGAAATACAAGAAAAGGGTAAAAAGAAAAATGGGTGAAAATAGAGGTGGATTTCAGCTTGGAACTGTTGGGGCTTTGAGTCTCTCAGTTGTATCTTCTGTTTCAATTGTCATTTGCAATAAAGCCCTTATTAGTACTTTGGGTTTTCATTTTGGTAAGTTCTTATAATTGAATTTTGGGTTTTTATTAATGTCCATTAATTGTTTAGTTGATAAGGTTTTAATTTTCTCCATTTTACTTGTTGATTTAATGCAGTGCTATTGTTTTTAATCGATTTGATGTATGCGACCCTAAGGGCTAACTGTATGCGATTAATGGCAATGTCACGCGTGAATCGGTGTTATTAATGCTATGTTAATGTGAATTTAATGTGTAAACACGGCTCGGGTTTAAGCTGTACTGGTTCTTGATTTGAAGTGGTGTTGAGAATTCTATGATTTGAGATATAGTGATCTATCTATGCTTCATGAGGAAGAGGAAGTGGGTATTGTTTGAAATGAAGGGGATTATGGTTTACTTTAATTTTGGGATTTTAGGATGTCCAAGAAATGGGACTGTGTTCCGTGCTTTAAATGGTCCTTCCTCGTCAGAATGAATTTGATGAAATTAAATCTGATTTGTAGCTATTAAGTGTTGTGGAGAAGTAGGGTGCATACGCTTGGAAACCTGTATATTGAGTTATGAATGTTTTGGTTGACACGGTATCCATAGAATCAATATCTTTGGTGATTCTTTACTACCACGTCCTGCAAAAGATGGATTACACTGCTTTGAATGAGGATGTCTATTATGGGAGGTAGTGGGTTTGTGGTACTATTTGAGGCTAAGCCACATTGTAATTTAATGCATCGGTGATTTAATATCTCGCCCTTTTGGAAATGTGATTTTTGATCTTCAATACATCTCATGTTATGGGCTAGTATTTCTAGTTGCTATAGATTAATGGTGGTAATTTGAATAAAATTTTCAAATGATAAGTTGTACCTTCCATTAAGTGTTTTTCTGACGTTGGAATCCCGTTATCTTTGAAATTTAGTTAGTGTATCCTTTGTTATTGTGGGTCATGGCCTGTAATTTTTTTGGCTGATGACCCATGTAGTCTTTTTCATCATACAAAGAAGGGAGCATAAATTTTTTTGGTAACATTTAACGTATAGAAGCTAGTTGTCGCAAGTAGACAATGATACATTAATCATGAGTAAATAATGCAGCAGTTTTCAAATAGTTGTGTTTGACCTATGTGGCTATGTGCATGGAATTGACTTCAACCAATAAGAGTTCTACTTTCAAATAATTTGTCGCCTTTTCATGTTTATAAGGTGTTTCTTTTTCTTATAATTTATATTAATGACATGTCGGCCAATCTTGACTTGTTAGAAATGAAAATTCTACTTTGTCTCGACATCCTAGATCCTACAGGATCCACATTGAGTCATGTTAATATGTTATTGCAGGGTGTCAAGTCTCTTCCATCTGGCTACTCTTTCATTGAATCTAATGATGGAAATTATAAAAACAAAAGGCTGTATGATTTCATAGTTGTACTTGTATACGTTACCAATCCTCAAACCTGTAGCTTTGTGTTGTTCAGTAGTTGTTGATGCCTACTGTCTTCGTTCTATTACAACTGCAAATGTTGGCAGGTAAAGAATTTGTCACATTGTTGTAAAAAGAAAATTACTTGTCACGTTGACATTTACAAGCATTTTGGAGAGATTACATTTTAGATAAGACTCATGATGAAGGATGTTAAGCTTGCCTACATTTTAAGTGAACCTATGAAGTAGGATGGTGTGTTTGTGCAGGGATAAAGCTAGAAGCTACTCAAGCTAGTGTCATAGTAGGGGGCACATACATTATCAAAAACATATAATGACCCAACTACATAACATGTAGTGTTCTATAATATTTCAAAAGAAAAGTTGTGGGTATGTAGCTACCTTATATGGAGTATATGCTTCTTTAAAAAAAAAAAAAACTATTATTCAGGAAGCTATTAAACTTTAAGCTGAAATTGACCTAATTTGATTTGTAATTATCAGCATTTGCCAATCATAGACAGAACAGTGGCAGCTAACAATTGAACAGTGATTAGATTGGTCATATCTGACTGTTAATAACTCAAGGTTTTGTTCCCCTAATATAATGGCTAGGTAGTTGTTTGCCAAATTAGAAAGAAGCGTTTTAAACTATTTGTCATATGAGCCTATGAGGTCATTGACTATTTAATGGATACCTTTTTTTAGTTTTTATTTATTGTTTAGTTTTATGTATAATAATCATTAGGAGGGGCATAAAATCTTGCGTCAACGAATTGCCAGGTTTCTGGCAATGGTATGTATGATACCTGATATGGAATTATGGCATATGGTACTGAAGTACTGAATCACTTTAAACTGTGCCAAAAGTATCTAATAATTTTAACATTTCAAGTTAGAAAAATCTTGGGCTATCCATATAGACAAGAAAAATTACGTGAGTCAATCATTTGTCCAAAGTCTGTTGATAGTGCACGCTTTACATGTCTAGGGACTTAATTATGATTGTGATTGAAGTGCTAAGTACTTTATGGTTCATCATCAAACATAAAGAGCTTAAGAGCCAATACAGTTCTTGAAGCTTGAAGCTAAAACATCTTAATGAATGTCCTATCTGTTTTTGTTCTTATAGTTAAATCGACAATCTTTGCTGAAGAGATATTACCTAGAGGGGTATATATATAACTTAATCCTCTCCTTAAACAAATTTTAAGGATATATGTTAAATGTGTATTAGATCGATAGCGTATAAAGAGAGAAGAAAAACGAGATAGTGCTATGATACATGGTAATAGAGTTTATGTTATGGAGAGAGATAAAGGAAATTTTATTTGAAATGGAATAAGCAAAAGTGTAAAGGGATGGAGGGAGTTTATGTTAGTTCTAATTGCTTTTAGTTATTCAGTTATCTCTGATTAATGGATGTTACATTATAACAGAATTGTTAAGAAGGTGGTGTGTTTGTATTTTCCTTACAAGTTATTAATGCAAAATGAAACTGGCAGCCAAACACCCTGTAAACCAGTTCATATGGTGATTTTAGACTCTAGGATTGTCATTGCTTAGAACTTTAATGCAGATCTTGAGGATATGATTAGGTACTGTGAGGATGATGAAAAATAAAATCTAAAACTCTATGCATGACGCAATTGGTTACTTGTGAACTTGTTGGGTAACTTACACTTATTATTCTAAGAGAATTCCGTAGCTGTGGTTCTGTTTCTCCACCTCTTTGGATAATGTTGCTTGAATGCATGTAATTTTAGGCTTGTTAACTAAAGAGCAAACACTGTGTAATCTAACTGTTCTAACGTCATTAATTTGATACTGGAAAGAGCAAATGCTTTGCAAAGCATCTTCTCTGTGCCACATGTTGAATTGTTTCAGTATTTATGTTGCTTGCACTTTTCAAGAACTGCCCTTAACCTTTAATTTTCTCTCATAATATATTTCTGCTAATTATACTACCCTTGTTCCTAGATGATTGATAAGATTACCGGAGCAACAGAAGCCAAGAGGAGTAGGAGAGAGAGATTTTATAGTATGGGCATATATAAGAAATATTAAGAAAAGGTTTGAGAAAAAGTTATAAGTGGGACTTTTGTAAGAAGTCCGGGAGTGTTTTAAATGGGCTACTAATGATAGTAGAAAACGTAATCAACAAAAAGGAATGTAGGTAGTATAAAGTAGTGAGGGATTTGTGTTGAAATGTGGATGAAAGTATGAATTAATTTCTTACTCCCTTTGCTCCATACCTGTTTGGTAAGGCTTTTCTCAAATTTTCCCCTATAGATTGGAACCCATAGCCGCTTATCCATCTCTCTCTCTCTCTCTCTTTCTCTCTCTCTCTCTGATAATCGTAGCAAAGCTTTGGGTGCAGCGCAATAAATAGACTAAGGGAGTGTGTTTTTTATTTATTTTGAGTGAAATTAATGATCGGAGCTTTTTGAAAAGCTTTAGTGCCTTATATCTTGAATCAAGGGGCATGCACCTAGATAATGATATGTCAGCTCACTGTATTCTTAAGGGTATCATATATTATATATATATATATATATATATATATATATATATATATATATATATATATATATATATATATATATATATATATATATATATATATATATGTCAGCTCACTGTATTCTTAAGGGCATTTTCTATGTGATCTTATGTCGTTAGTATTAGGATCTTTGAGGAAGAATATTGAAGAAGTCTCAACCTCTCAGTGTATGGAAGTAGTATCTTAGAATGAATTAGAGTCTGTTTAGTATGTAATTATAATTCTTAATAGCCAATAACTTTTCCATTTCTGCAACGATGCAATCTGACACGTATTTTAATGGTGTCTATCTGAAGCTGATAATTTTGACAATATGCCTGAAGTACCAGAGATTTTAATTTTTGGTATGAATGTATTTTAGCATGTACACAGTACACTAACTGTTGTTCCTTTCTTGTCTGTCTGCAGCTACTACATTGACGAGCTGGCATCTGCTTGTTACCTTTTGCTCTCTTCATGTAGCTTTAAAGATGAAATTATTTGAACACAAACCCTTTGAGCGAAAAGCTGTTTTGGGGTTTGGCATTCTAAATGGAATATCCATTGGACTATTAAATCTCAGCTTGGGTTTCAATTCTGTTGGCTTCTATCAGGTATGAAGCTTGCTAATTTCTTGTAACCTGTTGCATTGATATTTTTAGGATATACTGAAGTAGAGAAGGCTTGATGTTTATGGGTCATTAAGGTCTGAAATCATTACCTTTTCTTGTGTCCATGTGCTCAATGTTTGTGATTTAAATGCTTGTATGTTGAGCATTATAGGACCTTATTTTTTCAAATTTTTTCTAGACTGGTTATGCGTTTAATTGTGAATTATCCGGTCCTGTTATAAGCTGTACAGCACTTTGCAATTTCTTGTATTTTGCTGTTAAAATATAGTTGCTGAAGTTCTCTTGTTTTGGTTTTATGCAGATGACAAAGCTTGCAATCATCCCCTGCACTGTCTTTCTGGAAACTGTCTTTTTTAAGAAGCAATTCAGGTCAGTAGTAGCAATGATAACATCTTAATCTCTGGGTAAAGTTTGACATTTTTCATTGTGGTATATAGATGATTTGGCTTCCATACTTTATGAGAGAGTTTTAGAAAATACAAGTAATAATTATGAGCTTGCCTCATTTTTGTAATCAATGTGGCATGAAATTCATACAGCTTCTAACCATTTCCATCCTAGACACTTGGTCACATTCACAAGGAATTATAGAAAATTTTCATTTCTATATAAAATGCCTTTAATATATATATATATATCATTCAAAGATCTCATACTTCTTTTCAGGAAGGACAGGAACACTCACTAATACAAGTAATTTAGAATGAATACAAAGCATATTCTTCTCCTTGATTTCTAAATTCAAAGAAATTGTTGTTGGACATGTTCCAAATTAAAGATAGTTCATACTTCCTCCATTTCTTTTTAATCGTAACGCGTTCCTTTTAGGGAAGTTGCAAATTAATTGCAACTTTACTTTAATTTGGGCAATGATTCTCTCTATCTCTTTGACCTACTCATCACATGGGTCACCCTTTTTTTTTCCTTTCTATCTCTTTCCTCTCCTTAAATACCGCATACACCCCCCACGTTGCAATTAAAAAAGAATGGAGGATGTACGTAGTTACAAGTTATTACGGCCTTCTATGACTCTGGAGAGTTGTACTCCCTCCGTCCCTTATCTACATGCCTACTTTCCTTTTTGGGGTTTTAAAATTACATGCATATTTCTATTTAAAGAATGTACTTTTTAACAATATTCCCTCTTTTTGATGAGTTGTCATCCTTTTTTTTTTTTTTTTTTTTTTTTTTTTGTACTTTTGACATCATTTTCCAACACTTTCTTTCTCCATCTCTTCAATAATTACTAACTACCTTTTCTTTCTCTCTATCTCTCTCTAACCCCACATGCATATTTGTACTTCCCAATCAAGGGTTTTAAGGAATCTCTAAGTTCCTTAATTCCCGTGAAAAATAGAAAATAGGCACGTAGATAAGGGACGGAGGGAGTACTAATTATCAGTGACTTTGACAACTCTCTAAAAATCCTTCACCCTGTGTTTCCAAATCTATGGTGCTGTAGTTGGGTAAAAAAAAAATCAAGGATAGCTCGCACATAGATAGAGGATATTATAACCATTTTTGGCTCCCAAAAGGCCAAAAGAACTGCAACGGTCATTACTATTGACTTTGGAAAGTAATTACATTTTGTATCAAATCCTTGTGAGAAGCATTTGTATTATTTTCATTAGATAAAAACAGTAAAAATAATGTTTGTATATATCCATGGAAATGTAGACGCTCTACTGCTGTCCCTGATTTTTACTTTTCTCTGGAGTATAGTGTTCTTGTTGTTGGAAATGGTATGTCTTACAGTACTGAAGTTTTCTATGATCTCCTTCATGCAGCCGAAGCATACAGAGCTCTCTCGCTGTACTTCTTATAGGTGTGGGGATTGCAACTGTTACAGATTTGCAGCTGAATGCTCTGGGATCTTTCTTATCTTTCCTTGCAGTGATCACAACTTGTGTTGCACAGATTGTATCCTTTCTGAAACTGTTGTAGTATGCCCTTTCCCTTTCTGTTATTTCTATATGTGCATGCCTCTTATTTTTCTTACTACACAAATTAGCTTGATAGAACTCACTTGCTAATTTAGCAGAACAAAGTTTTTGACAAATATTTTTATTAAAGCTCTGCATGTGGCAGAAAGGTTGAATTAACCACCTTATCTTGACGGTCAAAGCAATGACTGCTAGGTATCTTATTTCACTTTCAGTGTTGAATGGAGGGATAAATTTTCTGATAGTTGTAACTTTGAAATGTATCTTGTTTTATTCAAAGTGTGTAAATCATTACCGACTGTTGTAGATGTAGAGATGTTGTGAATAAGCCTGGTAAAAGGTATATATAAACATATATGTGCGTGTGTATATCTTTTGTTTAAGATCTTAACCATATCATTCTAGATGACTAATACCATCCAGAAGAAGTTCAAAGTTTCTTCAACTCAGCTGTTGTATCAATCAAGTCCTTACCAAGCAGCAACACTGTTGATCTCTGGGCCATTTCTAGATAAGCTTTTGACAAATCAAAATGTTTTTACTTTCAATTATACAACACAAGTATTGGTGAGAAGATAGATTTCCTTTTCAGTTTATAACTCTTTCCAGTGACCTTATTTTCAACTATATGTTTGACAAGTCTTTTGATTTGTTTTGCAGATTTTCATCATAATTTCCTGTTTGATTGCTGTCTCCGTTAATTTCAGTACTTTCCTTGTGATTGGAAAGACATCTCCAGTCACTTATCAAGTGCTAGGACATCTGAAAACATGCTTGGTTTTGGCATTTGGCTACATCTTGCTTCATGATCCATTTAGCTGGAGAAATATTCTTGGAATTTTGATTGCCTTGGTGGGAATGATTCTTTATTCCTACTACTGTACCCGAGAAACTCAGAGGAAGGCTTCTGAACCAGCACCATTGTCTCAGGTATTGTTTTCTCAAGAAAAAAATTCCCAACTTTGACGGCCTGTTTGGTAAGCAACATTGGTAATGAGTTTATATGTAGTTTTGTAAGGGAAGGTTCATGTCATTGACCATGGTAGTATTTTTTTTTTAATCCTTTTTAAATATAAATTTTCATTAATTGTCAATACCACCTTTGAGGTTGTAAATGAAAACTTATGGAGAAATACACACATATTTGGGGATGGAGTCGTATATTGACATGAGGAATTCTTTGCAGAATTATATACAAACTCATTATCTTTTTTCCATATATAATTTTTCTTTATCAAACGGGCTGTGAGTTATTTATGTAATCTGTATCATTTCACCAATTAGCTTTTTTTGGATGACATCTGAGGCTTCTTTTATCACCACTAGGTTAAGGGAGGTGAGTCTGATCCTTTAATTAATCTGGAAAGTGGAGGCAAGGGGTCTACCTGATGAGAGCTTTCCAGAGGCACCTCTAAGGAACTCAAACAAACTTGTTTGATGGGTTCCTCGCCTTTGTATGCCATTGATCAGCACTAGGAGAACTGCTTATGTGAAGATAATAGAGTTATCAATTAGCTGGGGTTCTCATGTAATGGCTGTCATCCTGTAGAACAACAGGTATGAGCGGTGATATGGGAGCTTTCAGCAATAGCTTGGCAGTTTGTCGAGTTTGGAGAACCGCCCTTCATTATCACCATTTTTGTCATATAAATAGTTTGGCAACCCAATTGATTGATAAATCATTAGTCGTGTTCTTAATATAGTGCAAAATATGATCATAGATTCTATATATATCATCAAGATACACAAAATTCTTGACACCTTTTAGCTTTGAGTGTCTGCTCTATTATCTTTTGCATTCATCATGATATTCAGGTTTGAGTTAGCACAAATAGAAGGATAAATGTTGAAATATTGTAACAGAAAATAGTGCTCACTTGGTTGGATGTAGGAATTTATCCTTCTCTGAGATATTGTAGTGTTCTTATGTCCTAGGAAGTGACAAAAATTGTTTAATTGGCAAGAGCTTCCTGTAGAAAAATTTGCTTGCCCTGCGGGATTTAATAATCAACTACTTCCATTTCGTGGAAGTAGATTTTCAAGGAAGTCGTGCTTGTGTGTTTTGGGTCGACTGAATAACTTCACCGCGATTTTCTTGTAAGAAGCTTTATGTCCTGTCTAATTTTAGTCAATCAACAAGGAGTAATACATAGGAAAAGACTTGTAAAATCCAGAAAAAAAGAGGGGGGTGGGTGGTTTAATAAAGCTGATGTTTTCCCAGATAGTATCACCATCACTACACTTCAGATGTATGCGGTATGCTGTAGCACGCCTGATCTTTCGCGAAACTTATAAGAATTGTAGTTTGCAATTGTTTACATAGAATAAAGCTGATGTTTTTCTAGAGAGTATTGTTATCGTTACAATTCAGATGTATCCTGTACTTCTGTAGCACGCCTAATCTGTCGCGGAACTTGTAAGAACTGTAGTTTGCAAATGTTTTACATAGAATAATAAAAACTGCGCTTGACTCGTAAAATGCTATCTGCTGTCATTTTGAGTAAAATCGAGCATTAACCTTAGCTGTAGAACAATCTTTGGATCATAAGTATACACTTCACATTACTACAACAAAGAAAACGATGAGGTTTTCCGAATGATGGCTAGGCAGATTAATTCCTGTATTTGTTGTAGATTATGAAAAATCTTCACCTTTTCCATTACTGTCCCATGATCTATTTTCCTACCTACGAAAACTAGACATTTAGCTTAAAAAGTCTTCACTTTGAGTTTATCTGTCTATAAATTGGTTTGCAAGATCTTACAAATTTGAGATAATGCATGATAGTAATGATACAATTCGATAAATTTAAATCTTTCAAGCTATAGAACATTAAATTGCATTGGTTTGGTCCAATAATACATAATGTTACAAGAAATTTACAAGTTTTCAAATTAATACAAGAAAATACTGTAGTTATTTGCATAATCTCACTTTCTTAGTCTACTTGACTTAATTCACAAATAGCGAGAAAAAAGAATAACTTTAAGGACAATTTCAATTTTGCTACCACCAAAAGGCTTATGCACCTCAGTTTTGCTAGCTCTTTAATTTTTTTTTTATTATACTACCACCTAAATTACAATTGTTAAAAATTGTTACCACTTAACGGAATCCTAACGGATTCCGTTAAGTTTATTCAAAAAAAAAAAAAAAAAAAAAAAAAAACCCAGCCACCCTCCCCCCTCCCTTTCCTCCACCTTTGCAGCCCACCACCCTCAATTGCCCAGCCACCCTCCCCCCTACCGGCGACCGGCGCCCAACACTTTGGCCGACGCCGGCGACCCCATCCTAATCCCTTTCCCCACCAACGCAACCCACCCCCCTCCCTTATCCCTTTCTCGCTGCCCCAACACCCACCCGAAACCGGAAAGCACCCTCCCTCCCCATCCCCCCCACCGGAATCGGCCCCCCTCCCCTTCCCCCACCCTGAATCAACCCCACCTATCCTTCCCCCACCCAAAAACCGGCACCCCTAACCCATAAACACCACCCCTAAACCACCATAAGCGAAACCCTAAAACCCATTTGGTTTCGGGCTGGTGTTTATGGGTTAGAGATGCGGTTTTAGGGTGGAAAAGGGGAGGTGGTGGGATTTTGGGACTGAGGAAAGGGTGGGCTTTTGGCGATGGCTAGGTAGGGAGGTGGTTTCGGTGGTGGGCTAGGGGGAGGGAGGGTGGACGAAATCGGGGAGGAAAAGGGATGGGGTGGTCGGAAACGGGGTGGGGAATGGAGGGGATGGCCGAAAACGGGGGGAATGTAGGGGATGGCCGGAATCGGGAAGGGAAGGGAGTTGGTGGCCGGAATGGGGTAGGGGGAGGGTGGTAGGGGCTGCCGGGAATTTGGGTTATTGTTTTTTTTTTTTATTAAACTAACAGAATCCTAACCCATTCCGTTAAGTGGTAGCAATTTTTAACAACTGTGATTTAGGTGGTAGTATAATAAAAAAAAAATTGGAGGGGAGCAAAACTGAGGTGCCTGCCTTTTGGTTGTAGAAAAATTGAAATTGTCCTAACTTTAATTCAATGGTGAAAAGTCAGTTTTGAAACTCTTTTTATTTATTGAGGCAATTACAATATAGCTATTGGCCTTATCCTATTCTTCAACTTTTGTATTACAAAAATAAAGTCAATCAACAATAATTCCTATTTCGCTATCCTAACATTTCTAATACTTTAAAAACAAAGAATGAAAATAAAATCAACGAATTAAAATAAATCAAACTCTTAGATTTATAACCTAATCTCTTATGCACCTGTGCATTACGAACTCTTTCATTTGTTGAAATTATCTCATTTTCATTTTTGACACCTCTTTCAATCTTAACTTGACGAAATTCCTTCCTATCAATTGCTCCATCCAATAAAATATAACCCAACTGGTCCCACCAAAACGCATTACTATTTTATTTATTATATTATTTCTTTCTTATTACATTAATTACTTTTTCAATAATTATTAACCTCACTATCTTATTTAAGTCAATTAATTTCCTAAAACTATATGTCGATCAATGTGTAACATCAAATAAACACGGATAGAGTAAAGAATTGGACACACAATATTTAACGTGGGAAAAATCCTCAATGTAAGCAAAATTCCCACAACCGACGAGTATCTGAAATTTTCCACTTTTATGAAAATAGGAGAGTACAAGAATCCTTAAAAGGGTGAGTAGTACAAGTGAACTCTCAGTAAATTCATAGAGAGAAGGTAAGTAATTTACAAAGAGGGTAGATAGGTATGAAGGCTTGTGTATAAGTATGGCTTCTTGTATATGTATTTTTTGATTGAATGCCTAAGACCTATATTTATAGTTGAATATGGAGGTTGGAAGAAATGGCTTAAAGATTTCAAAAGTTCTTTATCATTCTTGTAGCCATAATATTATAGAAAAGGATAATGTTGATGAATTATATTTATTTGTTGTTGCTTCCAATGTCAAGAATTTTTCTGGAACATTCAACTAGGTAATTCTAGAGAAATCATAAGCTATTACTAACCTTGCTTGATTTTTCCAGAAACTTCTAGTATATGCACAAATACTCCACTAAACAATAAGCTTATAAAATTTGGGACACACCCAACAAGGTGAATATCACCTCTTACATGGTTCAGTTGGTTTCATCTATCAAGAAAAGTTTGGTGATTCATTTTAAAAGAAGATGGAAAAGTTTTGGAAAAAAAACTCAAAAACGTAAAAGAAAGAGGGAGAAAGGAATCTTGGAAAAATGGAAACAGATGTTTTAGGATTTGGAAACAGGCTTGGAACAAGGTGAAAGAAAGAGAGAGAAGGGAGATGGGAAACAGCTACTTCAAATATAACCCTTCGTACGAAACTTTTAAGAATATGGATGTTTTATACCGTAGGGTTGATCTTGGTATCGATGGACTTGTATTCGTAAATGAGAGTAGCAATATCACATTATTTAGCTTGGATGGTATTCAGAAAAATTAAAGCAACCTCTTGTGTTAAGATGTTGCTTGTTTTTTTTGTAGGTAACAATTAACTATATATACGCTTGTTCGTACAACTGATGAGATGGGTTGCTAACACAATTGCATATACTTTGCTGATGATTATTGGTTCAGTTCCAAAGATGAACTTGGAGATATGACATTGGTGTTTTTCGAATGGGTGACAATATAATTCGGCCACTAGATTTTACTTACTCTATTCCTATTGTTGTCCCATGTGGTTTCGTCCTGCGCTTTCAATCTATAATCAAGTTTATATTCCAATATGTAACATGAATATTTTTAAGCTTAGCTTTTCATTAGTGATATCTACATTTAGGCCTCGTTTCTCGTTTGATTTGATGTAAAATATTTTCAATGAAAAATTAATTGGCTCAGTAAAATGTTTTCATGGAAAACGAATTTCCCATTTCCCTTTATTTGGTTTGTGATGGGGTGGAAAACAATTTTCACATTGGTAGAAAGTTGCAACCTTGATAGTGGAAAATATTTTCCTTCACAAAACAAGGGAGCCACATTTTCCTCCCTCCTCCTTACCTTCTTTTTACTTTCCTCTCATCCACCCTCTCATTCTCACTCCTATTTTTTATTTTTCTTTGACTTTCCTTATATGCAACCAAACAAAGGAAAACTAATTTATAATTGTGGTTTACTTGAACTAGGGTGGCCAACGCGCGCGATGCGTGTGATATAGCCAGCCAATGCGGATAAGTTATCATAGCTTGTCTTTATACTATAAGGGTGGTCACTTAATTTAGTTATGTTTGTTTTATGTGGTAACAATGTAAAGCGTTTTAATAGCTTGTACGATGTACATAGTTATAAAGCTTACAATTAGTAAGCATTTTGCACGTGAAATGGCTTATGCAATCTGGTATAAAAATTATTTTTTCGCATTTCACTTATAAGAAATTTAGAAAATTACAAATTGGACATCATGCCTCAAAGACAATAAAAAGCTAATAAGAGAAAGACTAAATAACAGGTAAACAATACTTACATTAATTTAAGCGTATTTTTGTTATGAACTCTTAAATTTTATACTATTTTATGAAGTCTATTTAATGCATATATATAGCCCTTGTAGCCCGACCTAAGGGCTACATATATTTGTTACCCTTTTCTTATGTATCGGAAAGAGTATGGTGATTCTCTAGAATAAAAATTGGTATAAATTACAAGCTAAAAAAACAAAGCGAAACAAAGAAATATGAAATTTTACATTAATTTTTTCTTGGGTACCCTATGAGTAGTTGGCAATCTTAGGTCTCGAAGATTTAAGTTTGGATTTGGCTCAAGTCTAATGCAGTGTAAATTTATACTTCGTATTTCTATTATACTACTATAGTTTCTTATTATGTGAATATTTTGTCTCACAAATAATACCCATTTGTTATGCATAATAAGAAACGGAGGTAGTATCTAATATGATCCAATATCCATTCTGAAAGTTTCAAGTTTGGTATCTTAAAACCAATGTAATTAACTAAGGTTTTTTATTTATTTATTTATTTATTTTTAATAATTGAGTGCCAAGAAGAGATGAGTTAACCAAATAAGCCAATCT